TACCTACAAAATAATCGAGAAAAAGCTTTTATGATTGGCTGAATGCAGGCATGTAGTGCTTCTTTTAGTGCAAAAATGTGAACAGTGGAAATAATTCCTTAGTCATTTTACTGAAAAGTTCTTCCGATAATTTGAAAGTGGCTTGCCTTGTTCGACAAAACCAAAAATGAAACCAACACCTGTCTAAACTTTGACATATAAGTAAAACAATTTCAGGGATGTTTATGAATAAAATGAGCTAGACACTAACGTAAAAATCCAATGAAACATAGCCTTAAAGTGTGCGAGATACTAACGTTACAATGAAAAGAAAGGGAATCTTTTAAGTAAACGCGATATTAACTTAACAATCCCGTACCAACATCTAGTGAATGTTGAGTTCCAGATCTGCTAACGGATTAACTACATACAAACAAACCGACGGAATAGTTAAGTTTCAGGCGATAACATGAAATATTTTCTTTCGGCTGTGGTTGTGATCTTCAACTTACTGAGATACGCTCGTCTATACCTTGTGTCGCATGATATTGCAGTGTAATAATTCAGCAGGTTACAATTATTCCTTACCTTTTCCGCACTTTAAAGGCCTTTAAATATATTTTATAAACAGTTATAAGCGTGCAGTTGGGTGAGTACTGCACCAAGATCTGAAATTTAGAATAAACAAAATACACAAATGTCCAAGAGATAGCGAAATATTACTTAACCTTAGAAAACATAAAGTAAGGTATGGTCAATAAAGAGGTCTTCACACGTAAGTGGCTATAATCGAAAATATTAAAGTTTGCCTTTTAAAATGCATGAGAAATTACCTTACTTACTCTCTTTATACGAAGAAGAGGTCCAGAAAAACTACTTTCCAGGCGAGTGTGGCTTAACTCACTCGCATCGTTAGAAATGCATCACGAATTAATTAACATAAATTACGCTGAAAGCAATATGAAAAAAATTTCTGAAGAGCGCAAATCATAGAGACTAGTTGAAATGAAAATATTATTGTGGTGTTAAACTACAAATTTTGTACAAATTTACTTACAGGTAGATGTTTTGCATGTCATATTTTGTCTAGCCGTCGCTGCATCAGGAAAACTTACTCTTATTTGCATTTGTTTTGCTTTGTTGTTGTCTTCGTCGTACTAATTTTATCGTGTCGTTAGCCTTTCGCCTTATGTGCTAGAACGGAAAAGAAAATTGTTGCAAAAAGGACTCATTTGTGATTTTGAGGCAGAGCTAATAATTTTAAACACGACTTTATGTCTAACTTACAGAGCTACTTGTACTTTCTGAGAGAGGATATTTGCATAAGAAAATATAATTCTCTGTTATTAGACCAGATGGTCATCGGTGAATTTCAAAAAGATTTCTGATAGCAAGAAAAATGGAAAGGAGCATTTATGGAAGTTTAAAGTTTAATGTCAACTGTATTTTCCAGAAATACTCGCGATAAAACTCGAAAAATAAAAACTTCAAAACTGCCTTGATTTTATAAACGCAAAGATAACGTGTCTTTTAACCCATGCAGTTTCGGATTTATTAAAGCCAGATGGTCTAAATGCTTTGCAAGCTGAAACAAAAATATAAAGTAATCAAACCGAACGACCAATATGCATGCGAAAATTTCTGAAGAACACCATAGTGGAGCTTGCAAACGTAGCCCCATAATTATACATAATTGTAGTAACCCATCAAGCCGAAAAAAATTGGATGTACGACCATACAAGGCGCTACTTTTAGCATGCGCGGCCAACTGTACCACGGGCACTATCTTATAATCAGTCTTCTAGACGGACACGGAGAAGTTGCGAATGAATATCCATTAATATTACCACACACTTTATCCATAGTAAGGGCTTTAGTTTTGTTGAAGAGAAGTGAGGGAAAAAAAATGCGAGCTTCGCTTTTAGGCTTTCCTAAATCTATATATTATTTTATTTCCATTGGGATTCTCATCTTCATTTCCATAATGCCCACCCCTCCCTTGATGTGCAGCAAAGATCAATTTTACAAAAATGCCACCAATCTTCCTTTGGTTGCACATTATTGTTTCCATGATAAACAATTCTTCTTTTGTTGTTGTTAGGTTTTGTTTCTTTAGGATTGTGAGAGGGGAGGAGGGGAGGGAGGCTTGGCTCAGGATAACAACAACCCATAAGGCCGTAGGGTACTATCGTTCATTGCTGACCCTTTTTACATGTAGGTGTTAAACTAAACATAATTAGCTAACTTCTTTCTCACGAACAACAAGCCTATAAATAATACTTTGTTTCAATACACGTGAAATTTGCCTGCGATCTCTCACCAGTGTCCATCGAAGGTTGAGTTCGAAATGTGATAGGAAAGTAACCAAACAGACCGATGGAAATTTTTTGATGAGTTTTACAGCTGTAGTTGTGACCTTCGGAGATAACAGTGCTTAAGGTCACATGAAATTTCATTGTATTCATTTTAATACGCGAAACAAATCTGTAGCTTACCTTTCCCGCGTCTTAGAGACCTTTCTACTGTAAGGTTATTAGCTTGCAGCTGAGTCAGTATCGCATCGGGATCTGAAATTCAGAAAAAAAATATGCGAAAATCACCAAGAGGTAGATAAATACTGCCTTGTACTTGAAAGTCCCCTCACGTCGGCTACGATAGACAGTGTCAAAGGAGAAACGAAAATTGACTGTGCCATTGTTCTTAGTTCAAAGCCCTCTGCTTTACAGTCCTCCTTTCCATCAATGCGCAAAAAGTCAATATCATCGCCAAATTTAAATCAATTGATTATTCCCGATACTTGTCAAACGAATTGGTCAGTACTTTTATGAAACAGCCACAGTTAGTTTTCCTCTGGTTCGGGCCCCATTCACACCGGGGAGATTCCGTTCAGTTTTGAAAGTTTAATGTTTTGCAAACACATCGTTCTTAAAAGGCTCCATTTTTGAGAAAAAACAACGAAAGCGCAGACTTTTGAAAACGTTGATAAAAAAAAGTTTCATGTATTTTTTCTTCCATGAGAGTTTTTCGGTTGTTTTAAGTCTGGATGCATCCATTTGTAAGCGTTTCCAAGAGCAATAAAAACACCCGAGGCACAGGCGACCCAAGCTCCATATGTGAGATGATCAGCTTGCGCAATAACAGTCATGGCGGAATTATAAGAGTTTTTATGGGAATATTTACGACCGCTTTAAGGAATTAAAAGATAGGTCAAATTCTCAATAAAAATACCTCACCTTACTTCCACGGCGTATTAATTGTTATCTGACCGCTTACTTTGATGAAAAGATCTCATTCTAACACCGCCTGTGCCCGAGGTAGCTAAAGAATATCATGTTTTATTTTGTTTGAATTGTAAACGGATATTTTCATAACATGCAACGTATTCTTTGAATCTATTAAAGGCTCATAAATAGGACAATATTTGGATGTACTTAATATTTTGTTCAGTTTTTGAATATGTAAATGTAATTTACCAATTTATGTCTAGAAATGCACGTAGTAAGGAAAATGACAGATTTGACGAAATTTCGTCGAACCGGGTGAATGTTCGTGGATTGGACTATTTTCGCGAATTTTAGTCAAATTCGTGAAAGCGAAATCAGCTTGGCGGAATTGAGGATTTTGACGACTTCTCGCCAAATTCGTCGTTTTTTTAGGGCCCTTCACGCCAGGTCATTTCAATTTGCTCGTATAATTTCGTCCACGACCTTAGCGAAATTTCATGACAATCATCAGTTTTGACAAAATTCCTACAGAACGACAAATTTCGTCAAATTCGTTAAAATCGTCAACAAAATTTCGTCAAATTTGTCATTTTTGTTACTGCATGCATTTCGGGACATATCTTTAATTTATTGAAGAACATCGAGAGAGCTAAAAAACGTCTGCCCGTCTTAAGAACTTTTGAAATAAAGAAACCTGGATTAAAAGTTAACCCTGAGTTAGTGCGAATCAGCCTTCGAGCAACTGGGCCCAGCTAATTAAACTTATCCTTAGGCAACTTCATCCGGGTAGATTATAAGTTGTTATTTCTTGATTTAAACTGTTGCGCCTTTTAATGCAAATTAACCAGTTTCATTTCACATTAAATGTCAAGTAACGTCACGTAGACCTATTTAACTAGAAAAACTAACTTTCTATTTAATTTTGGTGTGTTGGTCGACTGTTTCCAGCTGGTTGATTATCAGTAGCTTATATTGAGATGAAGAAGGGTGTCCACATCCATATGGCAATTAGTTTTCTCAGCAAAACAAACACTGCAAGGAGTTCTTCTCTGACAGAAAAACCAAGGAAAAATAATGGTATCTCGATACCGCAAAGCAGTAAATACATCGATGTAGCTGAGTTCACAAACGGTAGGAACAAAAGACACATTGTTGAAACAATCATACAAAAAATATACCTCTCAACTCGTTAAAGAAAAAAAAGTTGGTTTCACATCACTTTGTTCTCCTATGTAGGTTGAGAAAGGGCACATCTAAAAATTCACGTAAAAGATAAATTGCATCGCCTCGACTTTTGAACTTCTGTGGTTCCCCGTAGTTTTCGAATGTAAGAAAAAGATTAGCACAATTTCTGTTATTAATGATGTTACAAAATGCTAATGAAAATCACCCAAAAGCGGTTGAAATGATCGCGAAAGAAAATTAAGAACGATTTTAAAATTGCAAAGATTCACATTCATATTTATTTTAAAACAGTTTCAAAACTCTCAAAACTCCCCATTTAATTTAGCAATAAAGAAAAATTCACCGTGCTTTTCTGACTGTGTTTCACCTATGTGTGCGTTTCAAAAAAACAGAATTCAACTTTCAAGTTGAACTCACACATCCTTGGTGGGAAGTTTTAGAGTTTCAAAATTACATAGGAAAGTTTCAGTAAAAAAATCGCAAACAAGTCAAAAATACTAAAGAGATTTAAAAATGACTAACATTTTTTGATCTAGTTTGTTTCACAAAAGACGCATCACATACAGCCAAATCTAGAAAGCCTTTTCTTCTTCATTTCTAGGTCGTTTTGTGCGCTACGCAAAGCTGTCGAAACTGAATGGCTAACAATATCAGCAACAATACTCATAAGGCCTCCGGCCAACAAGATTGTATTCGAATTCCTCCCTCAGAGTGTATCCCATGGGCAATTGTACTCACTGCTGAATGTCTGGCTATAGTCATCCTAAATATCATCACCATTATTGTATTTGTGAAGCAGCGCGAACAACGGCGCCGGAGTACATACTTGATCATCCATCTGGCGATAGTTGATGTCCTCGCCGGGGCAGCCTCTGGACCTCTTCTTATAGAACATAGAATAGCAGAGTATTGTCATCTGTGGAAGTTCGATTTCAATGGGAATCCGAAGTTACTTCACCTAAAATCTGTTTTTGGATTTTTTCCAGTTATCTCGCTTATCAATCTCGCTGTTATTTCCTTAGAAAGACTACACGCAACATTTTTTCCATTCAGGCATCTTTTAGTCAAGAAACAGGTATATATAATTGTGATCACTTTCATTTGGCTGACGATTGCAGGCATACAAGTACCAGAACAGCTGCGTCTTCTAAGCGACTTAAACTATTATATTTTATATTTTTCGTACTTCGTTATTCCACTTTGTGTAATTTTGTTTTCTTATATTAGTATCTTTGTAAAGGTCCGTTACGGTGGTCATCCACAAAACCATGGTGCAGTTAGTCAGAGAGATAGAAAACTGACCCATACCCTCTTTCTCGTAACCCTCGCGTCGTTATTGACATGGTTTCCGGTGATGATATATCAATTTCTGCTTATTTTTGAAATCCAGTCAAATCTTTCTTGGCAGTCAGAGTTTCATATCGAGATGACGTGGCAAACCATCTACTTCGCAAACTCATTCATAAATCCGGTGATCTACGCCCAGCAGATGCCACGGTTTAGAACGACTTTATTACAACTATTCCACAGAAATGTAAGTCCCTCACACCCAGTCGAATTGCCGCTTCGGAATTTGTAAAGAAACTCACAATACCTTCAATCATGTATCAAAAACTGCTTTATAATAAAAGAAAAGTGCATAACGATTGAAGAGGAAAGATGGGCAGACACAATGACACTGACTAAAATGTTTAAGATGATTTCCCAATACCTTTAGCCAGCTAAGATTTTATTCAGCGTTCTACTTTAAGTTGAAGACAGCGCTAAGCAGGATACAACTGTGATAATAATTATTATCGAACACACATCAAAAATCGTAATAAAATATTAAAATTTACTGTTTATACTTCATCGGGAGAAGTTAATAAAATCAGTTGATCACATCGCGTGATGAAGGCTGTGTCTTCGATTCGCATTAGAAGTGACTTCATCAGGAGGGCATAATTAGTTGCGAAAGGTTTTACGACGAGACAAACAGTGGCGGTTATAGTTTACCGGAAAGGATTAAGGGCGAGAATGTTTCCCAGGTAAATGAATATGGTGCTTTTTAGGATCTGCTCGATGTTATTGTCTTCAGCTTTGAAAATTATGGAGATACTGGTTCGGTGAGATCACCGGCTCAAAATTCATTTCAATAAGAAGTCAAACGATGTAAGCTGGTGCCAGCGCTTTTCGAGTAACTTGTGTACGTGATGAAAGGATGAAAAAGATGTCCACGTCTGCTCCTGTAAGGCCGTGGGCGGGCATTTATTTAGTACCACAAAAAAAGGGAACACGTACACCAAGATATATTGATGTTTACAAAAAAACAGGAAAATGCATAAAAACGTGATTGAAAATATTTCTTTTACAATGGTTGTTACCGATTTTATCTTACGAGTCGCGACCCGTGACCCGCGACTACTAGCCAAACTCACGACACGTCATTGGTGATAGCAAGAAACACATTTACTCTTCGAAAACAACATCTCTCTTGGTTTGGACTAGGAAATTAGTTGAGAGAGGAACGAAAACAGACGGGCTAAAAATGGCAAGCAACTTGGCGCATGTCGGTTGCGGTTAACCATGGTTGTTAGGGATACGGCAATAGAAAGAGAATGCTCTTTTGCATGCCATTTTTTGCACATTCTATTTTTTTTTTCGCGGGGAAAAATTTTTCGCTCTCCTGTTCGTCTCCCCCAACTGAATGCCTGGAACTTGAAGAAAAAAGGATAATAAAGGGCAAAAATAACAAATAAAAAAAGAAAAAAGGGGAAAAAGGAAGAAAAAAAATTTTTAAAAAATTATAAAAGAGGTACTTCCTTAGAGTTTCAACCCTTTCAATTCATTTTTTTTTTTGAATGAGTTAATCGGCCTAGAAATTTTGTTTTTGAAAAGCTGCCTTAAAGTTAACGGCCTGGC